GTTTGTTTCCTTATGCACATATTTAACAGAGTTAAATCTGTAATTTCCCTGGGAACGTTGCCCAATTCACAAGTAGGCCACATTTCGAGATCAGATCCATAAATCCAGTGTTCTGTTGTAGGTGCCAAGTTCCCAATCAAGTGGACGGCTCCAGAGGCAGCACTCTACGGAAGGTTTACCATCAAGTCAGATGTGTGGTCATTTGGAATACTTCTCACAGAGCTGGTCACCAAAGGACGCGTGCCCTATCCAGGTGAGATCTGATGATAGAAGGTACATTTTTAGGCCATTAACAATGACAGCAACTGGCTAAAATTTCATCAGTTAAAATGATTAAAATCGCTAATCGCAATTTTTCAAAGACAGTTTGCTATTTGATGCAAGATTAATTCTTAAAGGTATAATTTACTCAAAAATCAGAATTCTGTCATTGTTTACTAACCCACATGTCATTCAAAGCTTGTATGAACACAAAAATGCCTCTGTGTTTTTTTTCCTTACAGTGAAAGTCAGTGGGGTCCAATGTTGTTTTGGACTCCATAGACTTACATTGTATGGACAAAAGCAGAAACATTCAAAATATCCCTTTTTGTGTTCAGCAGCAGAAAGAAAATCTTGCAGATTTGGAACCTTTTTTGGTTAAATTATGCCTTTAAAGGGGTAATTCACCACTTGCTCTCTCATGTTGTTCCAAACCTATAAGTCTTTGGTTAATCTTTGAAACACAAATTAAGATATTTTTAATGAAACCTGAGAGGTTTCTGTACCCCCGTTTAAAGTTCCGTCCAAATCCAAAACTTATCAGATCCAAAAAGGTCATAAAAGCACTGTAAAACAAATCCATATAAAAGTCTTGTGAAGAGATACAATCTCTTTATTTGATGAGCAGATTTTAATTTAGGCTAAACAATGATCGACACACAGAGCACATCACATATGGTAAACACGGAAGCTCAAATATGCATGTGTGATGTACGAGAACCAATAAAGTTTGTTGTAGCGTGTAACATATGCATTACCAAATGTGATGTGCTCTGTGTATGTCTGTTTACATGTGAATTAAAGCCTAAATGAAACCTGTTCTTCATATAAAGTGGTCATATCTCTTCACAAGACTTTAATTAAACCGCTCAATTCATATGGATTCATTTTATGATGTCTTTATGACAATTTTGAATCTTCAACATTTATACTAAATGCATAAATGTAATGTAAATATAATGTAAAAGTATTGGTTACCTGGACATTCAGTGGAAGGACAGAAACCTCTCAGGTTTATTAAATATATCTTAATTTGTGTTTTGAAGATTAGCCAACGGGTTATGTGTTTGGAACGACATGAGGGTGAGTTCCACACCCATGACAGAATTAAAGTAGTGCTGTCAAATGATTAATCGCGATTAATTGCATCCAAAATAAAAGTTTTTGTTTACATAATATATGTGTGTGTACTGTGCATTTTTATTATGTATATATAAAACACACACATACCGTATATATTTTGAAAATATTTACATGTATATATTTATATTCATATAATTGATATTATATATATAAATATATTTAATATATAAACATAACATATTTTTCTTAAATATATAAATTAAAGGCATAGTTTACCCAAAAAGTTCAAAACCTGTAAGACTATCTTTCTTCTGATGAACACACAAGAAGATATTTTGAATGTTTAAACCGTTTTTGTCCGTACAATGTAAGTCTATGGGGTCCAAAACAACACTGGACCCCACTGACTTTTCACTTTCACTTTTTGGCTGAACTATCCCTTTAAGAGCTTGAATAAATGAATGAAGTACAACTCAGCATCATACAGGAATTTAAGGGCCCCACAGGTTTTTTTTTTTTTCCCCAGTTAAAGAGCACATGCTTTGCATTTGTCCCTCAGGCATGAACAACCGAGAAGTCTTGGAGCAAGTAGAGCGTGGTTACAGGATGCCCTGCCCCCAGGACTGTCCCAGCTCCCTGCACGATCTCATGCTCCAATGCTGGAAGAGGGACCCCGAGGAGCGGCCCACCTTTGAGTATCTGCAAGCCTTCCTGGAGGATTATTTCACTGCCACTGAACCACAATACCAACCCGGGGACAACCTCTAAACATGGAGCTCCTGCAGAGTGCAAAGTATGCCACAACAGACTGCCCTTCAAAAGACTGATCGAAAGAGCGTTTGATGAGAAAAGCTTCCAAGTTTTGTGCCATCTCGACCCAGTGTCTGACACAATTCATCTTCCATTGAAAAAAGGACATGCAGTCGCATTATATTAGTCAGTAAAGCCAAAAATAGTGTTCTGGGGAGACACATCAGTCACGATTAATGATAAGAATGGCTTGTTTGTATGTAGTGTAAATAGTGTGTTTAGTTTTCCCTCGTATTCGGCTTGTTTTATTACTTTTTATAATTCTGTTTTGCGTTCTTATCCAGGCCGAGAAAGTCGATGCTGTGAGGAAAGCATGATCAACATCAACCGTTTTGAGATTTACAATGATTCTGGAAATCATTCCTAGACACTTCCAGTAAGATGTTGACCAGCCTCTTTTAAATATTAAAGGAACTCTGTCAATTGTATATTAAATTAACTGTACATGTCAAAACACTCCCTTTTAGCCGAGACATGCAGCAGTGCATAGGTAGCATTTCTGACACATTATTGTGAATTTCACAGAAGGTAATGATGTCTGCACTGGTTTTAGTGATTTTGCTGGGCCTAATTATTTTGCACCTGCTTTTAGCAAGCACTCAATGTCTTTCTTTTGTTTTCTGCTTCTTAGAATGAGTGCATTTTCTATTTAGTCACTTTGGATTAACAATAGAGCAATGTATGTATCAGAATAGTACGAGACCAAGTGGGCATTATGCTTGACCATACTTGCATCTTTCCTGCAAATAAGATAAAATGACTGCTAACATCCTTACTGTTGTGAGAGAAAATAAAACGAGTCCATTAAATGTATCTCACAATATCATGCATTATAAAATAACACAACTAAATGCGTAGAGAAATATTATGAAATGATAGAATTTCACTCAAGGTAACTCGTCGCTGGTCTGCCTTGTTTTTTGCCCCTCATTTTGTCCTTCATGATAAAATGACATGTCTGAATATTCATTATTGGGTCATTCTTTACTTTTTATGAGCCATACTTCAGGAGCAGTTACTCACCTACTCTTCACAACTATAGTGTTGATTTCAGTCAATATTTTGGGGTTCAGTTGAAGATCTGCTTTTATCTGGGCCTATAATTTAAATTATGTGCTGCATTTGTGTTAAAATCCAACCTCATGTTTTTCACATTTATCTGTATTTGGATTCATTCATAAATATTGTGTTTATTTAAATGCTTTGTTTCATTTATGCACAAACATTTTTAGAATAAAGTGTCATTCAAATGCATTTCTTTCAACCTTTGGTTTTTTCATCTATCATCAAATTATAATTGAGTATCTTTTGTGTTACGATCATTTTGCAGGTACTTCAGGATTTAACATTTCTGTCAAAATTGAAAACTTCTAGATTTAACATTTGCAATGGTGGCCTTAAACAAATTCATGTTTATGCATTAATACACATTTTAGAATTTAAATGATCAAAAGATACAATTTTGAAAAAGAAAAAGTACTTATTATTTTGATTTAATTATTCAATGCAATGACCATTAAAAAGTTTGGGGTTGGTAAGATTTGTTAATGTTTTTGAAATAACACTAATATTGTGAAATATTATTACAGTTTAAAGTAACTGTTTTCTATTTTAATATATTTTAAAATGTAATATATTCCCGTGATGGCAACCTGAATTTTCAGCAGCCGTCCAGTCTTCAGTGGCACATGATCCTTCAGAGATCATTCTAATATGCTCAAGAAAGATTTCTTATTATAATCAATGTTGAAAACAGTTCTGCAGCTTAATATTTTTGTGGAAACAGTGATGGTTTTTTTTCAACATTCTTTGATGAATAGAAAGTTAAGTCAAAAAAGTCAAAAGGACAGCATTTGTTATTAATTAATTATATTTGCATTATATTTACATAAATATTTAATTAAATATTTTTACATATATGAAAATCTATTAATTTTTTTATTAATTAAATATTTTAATATTAAATAGTATATTATTAATATATTAATATTAAATATTTCAAATATTTATATATTAATTTCTTTAAATTGTAAAAGTCTGTCATTTTTTGATAAATTTAATGCTTCCTTGTTGAATGAAAATATAAAATTCTTAAAAAACAAACCAAAAAACTTACTGATGCCCAAATTTGTGAACAGTAGTATACATTTACATTTTTTGTTTCATTTTAATTAATTAAACAATTTGCAAGCATGAAACAAGGTCTGTTCTCACCTTCCATATTGCTGCCACTTTCAGCAGTACAGTTCTGTAATTCCCTGCATGTCCAGCGGAGGGCCACTGCAGGGCCAGATCTGCTTCAGATTCCGGCCAAAACATGTTCCGTGCCACTTAGATGTCCACATCTCACGTCTCTTCTCAGCTAGTTTGTTCCCTAGTTAAAAATAGGAGCCGTGCTTCTATATTTCAGATCTGTTCTACGAAATCACCAGTGAAACCATAGGCAGTGAGATTTGATAAAGAGTGCTAATTAGAAGCATGATTAACTTGAAATAGAATGTAATAGATCCTAATACCACTGATTCATTTAATCTAAATCATCATTTATTTTGAAAACATGATGGCTGTGGCAATGCAATATTACACAATATGATGCAATATCACTGATGGTACATGCATTAAATGAATGACATTAACTGAAACACCAAAAACCAAAGACATTAGAGTCTGTGAACATGCAACTGTCTCCTTTTCTTTTGCTTCCAGTATACAGATCACACCCCCTGCCGCCTAAAAAGGCAAGAGAGAGTGCAGCTGGTAAACGCTATACTATCTAAGAATAAACCAGGCTTGCAGGGGATAAGGTTACCTTGAAGCACCCCAGCACTTTTCCCGTCCCACACCCATGTGAGGCACCAATACCATGGGCTAAATTACCAGCACCTATTTGCTGCGTCCCCTGCCAGAGCCTGAACTCCCCTGTTTACGGCCCTGACCTAACATCCCATTCTCCCCCAGCCATGATCCCAAATCTGCCACTTTGAAAACCCTCAACCCGCTTTTCTCACGAGACTGTGAGGTTTCACTCGTGGATTGGATGGGGACGACAAAGAGGAACATCTTTTCCTGAGTGGGATTTAACATCAGCTGGCTGAAACCGCCCAAGTAAGATTACACAAGCAAAATCAAAGGACATTCGGCTGAAGTACCACCATGGCTCAGGCAACTAAAGGTACTGCAGGTTTTGTACTCATGATCTCCTGCATTTGATTGACAGACAGAGCTTAATACATGAAAAAAGTGTAAAAGTAGATGTTACGATATTTTAAAATATTTGAAAAATAAAAGCTTGAATCACAATAAATGCTGTTGTGGTACCATATAAAACAGCTCAGTTGATCTATGTAGCCTATGTCACAAACAGATTTTAATCTGCTGAAACAAATGATATGCTGTACTAATAACATTTATGTATCTTATATATTCGAGATTAATACAGAGAAGTCCATAATTAACTTAAAATAATTCATAACCTCAGAAGTGTTTAATTTATTTAGATTTATCAATGCAATGAAATTTCTCTTCATCGAAGTATCCTGAAAAAAAATATATGTATGACAGTTTACACAAAAAACATTAAACAGACAGCACAACTGTTTTTAATATTGTTAATAAAAATAAATGTTATTTGAGCACCAAATAAGCATATTGATATATGATGATGATAGGATATATGATTTCTGAAGGATCATCATGTGACATTGAGGACTGGAGTAATGGCTGCTCAAAATTCAACCATTGCCATCACAGGAATAAACATTTAAAAATATATTAAATGATAAAACAGTTATTTAACATTGTAATAATATATCACAATATTACTGTTTTTATTGTACCAAATAAGCATATTGATATATGATGACGATAGGATGATATATGATTTCTGAAGGATCATCATGTGACATTGAGGACTGGAGTAATGGCTGCTCAAAATTCAACCATTGCCATCACAGGAATAAACATTTAAAAATATATTAAATGATAAAACAGTTATTTAACATTGTAATAATATATCACAATATTACTGTTTTTATTGTAATTTTGATAAAATAAATGCAGCCTTAGTGAGCATAAGGAACTTCTTCCAAAAACATTATAAAATACAGACCCCAATTTTTTAACTTGTCACATTTTGGTAAATCTAGCAAACGTGATCAATATTTGCAATATTAAGACTTTGTTTAGTTCATGATGTCATTAAACTCAAGCAGCAGGGAGATAATAACACAAGATGGAGAAGCAGTTTATTCTTGCAAGCGTGAAGTCAGTCATGCATCTAGCCTTTAATGCAAGAGAACAGCTGTAACAAATATCATGTTGCTATGGTGCTGTATTTATTGTATATAGAAATAAAGAACAATGTAGAAATATGGAAAGTATTTAGAATATATTAACACAAGTAATAAAAAAGAGCACAGTACTTTAGCAAACAACTTTTGGGTAACATTTTCCACTTTTTTTGACATTTAGGAAGGTTTGCTATACAGGTATATGTGTAAATTCATCCATATTTACAGGTCCCGCAGTGAAGCCCATCCCTCCCACTGCTGTAGACGCCCCAGCTAGGGCAGTGCACCCAGACTCACTTACAGCCCGGAGCCATGGAATTTTACGAATCATGAATCGCCCGGCACAATGGGTGGTCATCATCACACTTCTGATCTCTTGGTCAATAGCAGGTGTTGTCATGTTTGACTTTGTCAGTGACGATCAGATAGCAAGTAAGTTTTAAATAGGCCTAATTCATTTTCACAGTTCCTATTTTATTTACTCTTGTGCTGTTGTTGGATTTGTTGGGTTCACTCTGAATTGTTTTTATAGGCATCCAAGATTTCGGCTCTGATCCAGTGCTAGCAGTGAACAAAGCCATTGAAGTCATTGAAAACAGGATAAACCATATGAATGATATGTTTAATGATGCTCAAGGTATGCTTTCACAACACACAAATAGTTTCTTTTATCTTTAAAATATCACTATGCTTTTCTGTGCAATTACAATTAGATACTAAAACTTTCAGTCTTCAAAAAAGGTGCCAAAATGCATCATAGCTACAAGTAGTCTAAACGACTATTACTAACGTGCTATATTTTAACTGTTCTGAAGTTATTCAGTAGTTTTGTGTGAAAAAAAGACCGTCATTATTCAAAAAAATCTTAATATCCAGTGAGTTGTCTGGGACTGGATCATTGAATCTGTGAGTTGGACTCGAGAACTGGATCAATCTGATTTGCGAACATTTCAGACCGTATCAACCGATTTGCAAAAAGATTAAACTCATAATGATTAATTCATGAATCGGCCATCGCTCATTCACAGGAACGTGCCTGTGAGCTAAATCTAAAGTATTTAGATTTTGATCTCTTCTTCACACAAAACTATTCCGTGGCTTGGAATATAGCGCAGGAGTATTATTGAGCACTTTTTTATACTTTTATAATACTCTTTGTATTTTTTAAAAGCCAGTTTCATTATAATTGAATATACTTGTGTTTTGCGGAAGAATGGTGAGTAAATTAAAGGGTTACTCCACCCCAAAATGAAAATTTGTCATTAATTACTCACCCTCATGTCGTTCCAAACTCGTAAGACCTCCGTTCATCTTTGGAACACAAATTAAGATATTTTTGATGCATTCTGCATCAAACAGCCGCACCACACGGATACGTTGTTTTCGTTCAAATCAAAGCATAAATAAATGTAGAAAACACTCCGGTTATTGACGTAACCTCGGTTTCCTGAGATAAGGGAACCAGCGTTGCGTGAGATGCTAAGGGGAAAACTCCTGTTTTACTCTGTACTGAAGCCTGATTTGTTCACGTTTGTGTAGCTGCACAAACCATTGGAGCTTTAGCCCGCCAGAAAGGGCGGAGCCTACCCTTATATAAGTCGGCTCAAAGACCCATTCATCAGATCATTTGACTGAAGCGACAGTCATTGATTTGCGTGCAGCTTATAGCGCTGCAAGTGACGCAACGCTCGTTCCCTTATCTCATGGAACCAAGGTTATGTCAGTAACGCATCCAATCACGACGCGCTATGAGCAGATACAGGACATCCTGCTCTGCGAGCCCAGTCTCAGAGCACTAATAAGGACCCCTGAGAACATGAGCACATTGTGCCCCAAGCTAGTGGCTGAGAAGCACTAATATAACCAGCTTCGCCCAAGAGGGAAGAGTGGTACATTAAACTGAAAGAACTCGCGCCTGTAAAGCAGGGACGTCTAAATTATAGAATCTGGCAAATGTGGATGGCGACGACCAGATCTTCACAGATCTCACCAATAGAAATTCCGCTGGACCACGCCCAGGAGGAGGCCATCCCTCTTGTGGAATGGGCCCTTACACCTATAGGGCACTGCAAGCCTTCTGAGGCGTAAGCCAAGGATATCGCATCAACGATCCAGCGAGAAAGTCTGCTTTGTGGCCGGCAGTCCTTTATGGCAGCCTCCAAAGCAAACAAAAAGCTGCTCTGAGCATTTTTGGACCCAGCTCACCATCTGTAACGGAGAGCGCCAATAGGGAGATCACCTGAGCTCTGAATGGAGTTGAGAGCACTTTAGGAACATAACCATGTCTTGGTTTTAGAATGACTTTACAGTCATTAGGCCCAAACTCAAGACATGAGGCGCTGATTGACAGTGCTTGTAAGTCACCCACTCGCTTAACCGAAGCCAAGGCAAGGAGGAGGACAGTTTTAAACGATAAGGGCCGCAAATCAGCCAAACTGAGCGGCTCGAAGGGGGGCCTTCTCAGGGCCCGCAGTATTATAGACAAGTCCCAAGATGGCACAGTCTGAGGGTGAGGAGGATTCAGCCTCCGTGCACCCTTCAAGAACTTAATGATCAGGTCGTTTCTGCCGATCGATTGGCCAGCTTCGAGGGGAAGGTTAGCACATGGGACACGTCACATGATATCGGGTCCAAACTTCGTGCAGAACACCAGTTAAGGAAGACCGACCATTTAGGCTGTAAAGTAGACGGCGCTCTTGCCTCCAAAATGGTATTGCTTACATTTGCTGGGAGCTGATTAAGCTCCCGTCGATGCACCATACATGAAGGCTCCACAGCTCCTGCCGGGGATGCCAAATCATGCCTTTCGTCTGCGAGAGAAGGTTCCTCCTCAGCGGAATGGGCCACGGGGCTGCTGCTGAGAGCTGCACTAGCTCTGGGAACCAGGCCTGGTTCCTCCAGAGCGGGGCCACCAGGAGGAGAGAGCACTTGGTCTCCCTGACCAGCTTGACGACCTGAGGGATCAGGGCGATTGGGGGAAATGCGTATAGGCAAGCACTGGGCCAGTCGTGGGCCAGAGCATCTCGCTGTATCGAGAAGTATGTTGGGCAGTGAGAGTTGTCTTCTGAGGC